TGAGAGACGATTCGAGAACGCCAACGTGGGTGTACAGACGTGATCGACTATCGTGATCGTATGTATCTATGTTTTAACATGTAAAACGTATAAAAATGTTTTTCGCCGAGATTTTCGGAAGGAACTCGGAGAGACGTTTAGTCAAAATCGTAGCCGTGCGGATTCTCCCGTCTTCGCAGGTTCCACGAATGTCGTTCACCCCTCTACCCTTGTCTCGTTCTCACCGATTTAATCCCGGATTCAGCACTCGATTTGATACGTTACACAGCGGTTTGTATGCCCTAACTCGCCTTACTCAACACGGTACACCCTGTTCGTATTACTGCTCCTACGACCCGCCCATACTAGATCGCTTCATTTTGTTTCACCCTCGCTTCTCTCATTATCTCGTGCAACCACTCTCTCTTCATTGCTCTCTCTCTCTCTCTCTCTCTCTCTCTCTCTATCTCTTTCTGGCCACCCCGTCGTCGTCGTCGTCGTCGTCGTCGTCGTTGGGGATATCTGGCTCTCCCTTTCTCTATCCTGGCGACCGTTCCTTTTTCGCTTCTCGTGCTCGGATTCGAACTCACCAGCAACTGCCTCCACCCTTACATTCTCTCGAATCCCCATTTTTCTCTTTGTCTCGTTCCTTGCCCGGCTCTCGCTATCGGGCTTAATGCTCCTCCCGGGTTCTCTTCGTCTCTCGGCAGCATCGGGCACACCACAAGGGTTCATCCCTCGCGCGGCCGCGCTCTATCGAACGCGGAAGCGAGACAGCCGCTCCATTCCCCCGCGCCTGTTCGCATTTAAATTAGATTAGATAAGTTAATCAATGCGGTATTCCAAGTAAAACCCGGGATTTCGTGTCAGCCGGTTACCGAAGAGAAATTATTGCCGGTAGACGGGATCGCGATCGCTCGATCTCGAAATCGTCGACGAACCGGCGCCGATGGGTAAAGGGGGAGACGATGGCTGGAGGAGGGCCGAAAACGACGATAGCGCGGTTTCACCTACGCGCGTGCCGTGTTCTTGAAAATCCTCGTGTTACGGATCGTCATCCTCTAATACCATGATTCCGAACTCTTTGCCCGGGATCCCGTGGTGATTTCAGGAACACCATTTTTCATCGGGGGGGGGGGGGATTTCACGCTGATAACGCGCGATCGCCATCCGATACAGGAAGAAGCGTGGTTTTTATTGTTCAGGGAAATAGGTTGGAACAGGTAAGATTGGATACAGAGTTCGCGCAACTTTTCAACGGATTTAACGACATCTAAGTAGTATCCGGCAGAACGAACTGTGTAAAATAATCACGGAGAGAGTAACACGCGAAAACGCTAACTATCTATAAGTTATCAGTCTTGTGTTACGTATAAATTGATTCCCCTTAATTAGCAGCGTAGCCAGCCGTTCGTGTGCGCGTGTTCGGAGTGCTCCTTGACGGTTACATTCACGAGATGTTAATGGATCGTGGGAATTAATGGGACGCGACAGGCCAGGAACCGGGGGTGAAGGGTGCCCCGTTTAACGCATAGCTTTCGGTCGATTCAGGATATTAGTAAACTTGCTTTGTAGTTAGCCGGTCGCCGGTGAATCTATAGGGGGTCGATACCGTTTCGCGCCGGTAGGTACCTCTACCCCGCTTCGAGTCGCAAACTTTTTGCCATTTTTCTTGCCCGGTTCTCTCGTTAAGACAATTTATATTCTATTCTGTAATGCGGCGAACAGAGTTCGACTTTCTTCCCCTTTCGCACGCCATTCCCCCCGGGCTCACGCGCACCGGACTGTGCGCCAACTTTTTTCATATTCCAATTAGAATATTTTTCATTGATTTAAAGCCAGTCCAGTGCAAATATTAACGGCTTAACACCGCGATAAATTCGCGCTGCCAATGCCTCGGAATTCCGCCTCCCGTCCCGGCGCGATCGAGGGTGGAGGCGAACGACGACAGGCATAAGGACTCCGCTACCTACCAATGCTAACTTTATGACTCACGAAAACTCTCGTAACATTAATCACCGTGTCGTATATTTGAAATCGATACCGGTTACGAAAATGTCTCCACTCCCCTGAACCTTAGGACCCCCCCCCCCCCCCCCCCCCCCCCCCCCCC